TCTGGCTACACGGTGGTACCAATATCGAGGCGGTACTTGCGCGCGCGCCAAGGTTATTCTAATTTATTTAAAGGTCACACCTAGCGCTGCGGCGATTTTACGATGGAACAAAAATTGAAGCAGAGGATTTGCATAGAATTTTGTGTGAAACTTCAAATAACAGCAACCGAAACTTTTGAAATGCTTAATAAAGCATTCCCCAATGACGCCCCAAAGAGAACAACTGTTTTTGAACGGCATTCTAGATTTAAAGCTGGCAGAATTTCCATTGAAGATGATCCTCGTCAAGGACGCCCAAAATTTCAAAGGACTGATGAAAATGTGCAAAAAATCACCGATTTGATAAAAGAAAATCCTCGAACCACTTTGCTGGAGCTAGAGCAAGACACAGGCATCTCTAAAACAACGATTGGAAGGATCGTAACCGAAGATTTGAAGCTCAAAAAGACTCCTGCAAAATTCATCCCAAGATTCCTCACCAATGAGCAAAAACTGTGTCGGCTTGCAACCTGTGAGGACATGATGGAAATGACAAGAACGGATCCAGAATGGAAAGACAAGATAATCACAGGCGACGAGACATGGGTCTATGGCTATGACCCTGAAACCAAACCTCAATCTGCCGAGTGGAGGTTAGGGTGAGCCTAGACCCAAAAAATCCAGAAACAAGGTGTTGCTGGTCGCTTTTTCGGATAACAAGGGCATTGTTCATCACGAGTTTCTTCCTGCAGGCCAAACAGTTATTAAGGAAATGTATTTGGGCATTCTTCGCCGTCTAAGGGAAGCGATTCGAAAAAAAAGGCCAGAAAAATGGACTAATGGTGGCTGGATCCTACACCATGACAATGGCTCGCCCTCACACAGCGCACTTGATGACTAGCTTTTTGGAGAAAAACGGGACACAAATCCTACTTCAACCACCCTATTTCCCAGACATCGCACCAAATGACTTTTTCCTGTTCCCCAAACTTAAAGCAGTTCTAAAAGGAAGACATTTTGACACCAGGGATGACATAATAGAAAAATCGCCGTTAGCATTGAAGAGCATTCTAAAAGAGGCTTATAAAACTGTTTCGATAATTGGGAGAAACGATGGCGCTGGTGCGTTGAAGCAAGGGGGGATTACTTTGAAAAGTTTTAATAAAAAAATTTAAAAAAATCTTACCTTTTTTTTTATGGACCCAGTCCGGGAACTTATGGGACATACCTTGTATTTACCAGGTCTTCCAACTTTCCATCGATGGACATTTCCATTCTATCGACGAACAGGTTTGACGGTATCAGCTTGCTGATGCAGGGAAGTCTTGTAGGAGCTGGTTCCCTTACTTGGATCAGGACGCACGGTGGTCCGAGTAAGCAAAGTCAGTATTTTGGTATTGCGTGACACGGTCGCAAGAGTCTGATAAATTCTGTCCACACAGCACACGTCGACCCGGCTTACGATGGGGGCGACCTCGGTGTTTTCCAGCGCAGCATCGAAGAAGGTGGCAGCGCCGACTAGATCGGATTGGTCCAGTAGCTCCGTGAGGGCTTCTATCGAACCCAATTCCAGGTACTTAGGTGAAATCTAGGATATGTTCAGGGAACTGAAAATCCACACACCTTCCTCACACGCTAGGATGGCCTACAGCTTGCGGCATCGCCTGAACTTGGGATTCAAGAGTTTCAGTGTTGAGCAGGCTCACTTTACTTGATATGGCTTCTTCTGCAGCCGCTGGTGGAGCTTCGGCACCGTTAGTTGTGTTGGCAGAAGGAGATATCGGGTTTATTATGCATAATTAAAGTTGGGGCAGTTGCGACAAGCCCCGACGAGTGCGAAATCTGCATGGAAGGAGAGACAGATCCGTGTTGGGAGGTAGGTTGTCGAGTGGAGCGTTCCTCCATACCCTTCCTGGGGCAACTGGCACGCCGATGTCCTTGGCGGTGGCACTTGCTATATTTAACGCCGTAGGAGATGTATGCTGGCGTCCTTTAAACCCTGGACGACTTGACATCTAATTTCACCGGGAGCTGGTCGATCTTCGCGTCCTCAATAATTAAGTTGAACCCCTCCCTGCTGCCCGTGGTCCAGGAGTGACTCCTTCGCAGGTTTCCACTTCATAGACCATTGAGGCCAATTTTCAAAAAGGCCGTAGCACCGCAATGCTGCCTTCATCTTTGAGGACTATAGAATCCTATAATATATACTATAATGATCTTCTCGGCCCTCTACCTGCATGGGAAGGCTTTCCGGAGGGTGCTGCCGATGTTGAAACTCTCGACCAGGCGTTCTGAATTCTCATTACTGGATAGTCCCACTAGAACATAGTCAGACAACTTCATTACCTGGTAAACTGAAGAGTTGCCTAGAATCTGTTCCAGCGCCTTCATGTATTGGACTGGATGGAAGTCCGCGCTTTACTCGACAAAGCGGCAATGGTCAAATATCG